CTTCTTTGTCGTGGGCCCCGCGACAAAAGTAAGCGGGCTAATTCGGGAATATTCGTGGAACGCATCCTTCGACGAGGTCCCACTTTCTTCTGGCGATTTGAACCATATGACGTGAGTGAAAGTCTTCAGGATGTCCTTCTCATGAAAAAGCCTATCACACACACGTGAGGTGCTGGGCAGTTTCTTATCCGCGCGAGGAATAGCGTGGTCCCATACCTCTCGCTGCTCAGGTACACGTGGGCACAAAAGAAATGTTGTGGTGTCTCTCATTTCCTGTAGCTACTCTACAGCCGGGAGCGCAACATCGGGCATGATGAAAACACGCAACACATACAAAGCAGAACAGGGCATGCTGAAGCACAAAACTGTTCCCGCAGAAAGAAGCCTCCACAGATATCGACGCACTGCAACATGCACAGGCGATGAAGGTTACGGGAATGACACGAGCGAGCATGCAGTGAGTGAATTCGGATGCGACAGCAGTGCCACATTTGTCGCTGGCAGCGGTGGCGCCGCGCAACACCACTCAGTTTTGCAACTTACCTAGTTCTAGAAACGTTGGGGAGGATTGTGTGAAGCTTTCGGCTGTCTTCGGGAAAAGAAAATCGTTCCGTCCACTTTCTAAGTATCACAGGCGGCTACGAGCGGCCACTAAGGTTGTCATCAATAGAAGGGTGTGGTGGGAACCTTAATCGTGTAATAGTTCCGGGCAGCCAATGACACTTTGCAATATCGCCAGTGTTGAGCGACCTGGCGGTTGCTGGTTTGGCGCAAAACTGGTTAGGGAGCTCTTTTTTAATTAGGAGTGTTTTCCTTGTCAGCTAGGTAGTGCTAAGATTGAATAATGTTGGGTTGAAAAACCAAGCTTGTGATCAATGTTAGGCTTATTTTACAAAACGTCAGTAAAAAGTCAGCGGAATTTCGATAATGCCTTGTTTGGACTTTGTGTTTCATTTTTGTAAACATAGCTTGGGTAAAACAAAACGGAAATGTGAACGAGTCGGCACTGTTTCATTATGGCGTAATTGTAGCACACACACAAAAAAAAGACCAGATCAAGAGAGTGAAAGGTTTCACTTTCTTGTCATCGTCTTTTTTGCTCTACATTTCGGCCATGATAACTTCGGTAAATTGAATCAAGTCAGTGTAACAATTAGAGTCACTTTAATATTAGACATGTAACATTAGAAAATATTGTAGTTTTCGATCGATTCAATAATATGTTAATAATTGATGTAGGTAAACCTAACCGGCAAAAAATATTTTTGTTCTTGTAAGTACACATAAACAGTAATATCTGTTCGCTTTCCATATAAATAAATGCCATATCAAGGTCTACGACTATGTAAAAATTATTTTGATATATCACGTGAGCTTAACTAATAAAACATTATTAACTGAAATCAGCGTTAATTTTTATAAATGCGAAAAATTGAAGTAGGTCAATGTGTTTGGTAAAGACTTTTAGAACGCATACACGCACTCCTACTGGTTAATTAAAAAGTTATTCCGATTCGATAAGTGGTATCTGAGATATTAATCTAAAAGCATGCTAGACTCTTAGGGAAACGTGGCACTTTCAAGATAAGAAAGAGAGGGGCGAAAGAAACAGTCGAGACTAGGGAAGAGGAATGGAAACAGAAAAAAATTTGCCCGAATCTGCATGTTACACTTCAAATGTCGTTGGAAGACGATAGCCTTGCGTCTGGAGATAGTGAACAAAAGGTTCATTTGATGGCGAATGGTATTCTGAACGTGCTGCGTTAGAGTGCCTAGAGCGTTTAGCGGAGGCGAACGAGCGCATCGAGGCACGTTAGACACGAGCGCCATCTGGCAGTTATCTTCGAAAACGAAGGCATGCGCGCCCGCGGAGAAAGATGCGCGCCCGTCTAGAAGGTGATAAGGTGTGGAACGCAAAGCGACGGGCAGGTGCCACCACCGTGTCGTCGTAGCGAAGCGTTGAAAACACCTTTTTGAGCATCGCGATGCACTGTCAGCGCAGCGCGATAAACGCTACAGTCCTTATAGTTACTTGTGTGCCTCTTCTAGTATGAAGGCAGACATACAAAACATCGACGTGTTGTTATGGTGCCTCATATACACGCAATAATTGCTTTTTAATTAACAATCGCACAACTACGAACGCCAAACCTTGAGCAATATTGATAGGCGCTGCGGATGGGTTTGGCCGTTTGATTCCGTTAGAGGTATCGTTAAGGGTGGGCAAAAAGACAAATCGACAAACAGACAGACAGACAGACAAACAAAAATTTTTCCATCGAAGGTCCCTGAGAAAGCCTATCGCCTTTTTTAAGAGTTGCTTAGCAGAACAAGTCGACAAACACTCGACGTTCCTGTGGAAGGGAGGGGTGATTGTGAAGTTAACCCATAAGGCAGCCCGGCTCAACATTCTAAGAAGGAGGGGACGTGGTACTGAAAGAGAGAAAAGAGAAGGCACCCTTTGGAAAAACTAGTCATGTTTTCTGTATTGATAATCAAAGACAGTGTTATCCTACTGCTGTATTTTTTTTTCAGTCCTGCTGCCACGACTGTGACGGCAGTTTTTTTTTTGTAAAAGGCGGGAATACGAACAGTGCTGAGACGTAGTTTTGACCTGGACAGTGCAACAACGCTGGCCTGTGAACAGAAATTGGGAAACGAATATTTCTGTAAGTCCAGTACGCACGCCGTGACAGCCCGCGCGCATTACTTTCCTTGGTCTCCGGACGTTCGCATGGACCTGTACGTCAAGAAAACTGGTCGGCCATCCCTTATTTCTGTTAGTATATGTGAAAATGCAGTTGGCTTAGGTAGCGTAATGTTTGTACCTTTTATTTTGTTGCATTGTGTGAACTTTCCTTGACTTTTTGCTTGAGGTTGTTCAAAGAAGTACTTTGAAATATATACACTACGACAAGTATCCAAATAAACCGGGCATTGCACATTAGAAAAAAAAGCAACGCCAACCAATCTCAAAATTTATGTTGCAAGGGAGATGAAGCTACGTTTGCTTAAATATAGGCCGCAACCATGCAAACTGTGAGGACCTACTTTGCTAGATGTATGCCAATGAGCACGTACAAAAAATGGGACTGTAATTATCAGTCTTATTATTTGATAAAATTAGGGGATCATTAGAAGGGGATCTCCTGATACCGTTTACGGGAGTACCTAAATGCAATTATTTAGGTCGAAAAATTTCTTTTGAATGTTTCAGCAAAGGTAGAGCTATCGATTTATAATTATATAGAAAACATTCACCAGTTTTGAACATTGTTCGTGTCACTGAGGTGTCTTTTTATCAGGTAGAGGCTTTCTGACACCAAAGTACAAGGGATGTGCTTCTTGATATTGAATGTTCATCCTTTACTTATTTTGTGAGTTTGTGTGTGTGGTCAGTTTTAGAAGTTGGTTCTTCTCATGGAATCACAGACTGTATAGGCTTTATTCAGAGTAAGTGGCTTCAGTGTTTAAAGTTTTCGTGCCTCTTGCATGATTTGCAATTCTTATCTAGGATTATTTTTTGCTGAAATATGCAGGAAGCGATCAGTTGTACCATTGCGTCGTCAATGTATCTGAATAACGGTCTCTCGGGGAAGGTGGCCACGTTTTCATTGTCGTGCGTAAGTTAATAAATTTGCAGCATTCTGGGCTTCACTTCAAAACAACCAACTCTAAACTTGTGCGCTGTTGATTTCAAGTGATGTCCCTCCTTCTGTTTTGTTTTTTTATTTTTTGGTGTGTTTGTTGTCTTTTTATCTGAAAGGTTGGGTCATAAACTAGGAGCTGCACCTTATTTTGAATGAATCAAACCATAAAAAGTCAAGTGCTTTCATAAATTTCATCTGCTAGAGCTCAATTGGAATAAAATACACAGTAACTCTGAACTGCTTGCATGAAAAATGAGACTTTGTTCATATAACCAGTGCGTGAAACGATCAGCATATAATAAATAACAGCGGAGTAGACAATTCAAAAAGTACTGATCCACGTCACTGAAACAATGCCTGGACAACTCGGGAAGTGACAATTCGGGATACTTGGGGAGTGCCAAACAAAAGCTCTGGATAGCCGGACTGAAAAACCTGTGGAAAATAATCAGAAGGTGTCACAGAACAGCTTCGGAAAGCCGGAGTGAAAACCCGCAAAAAATGTTCCGGAACTTCCACACTATCAATCCGGCCAGCCCGAGGGAAATGCCAGTAAAAAGCACTCCGGCGGCGCCACGCAATTTCTCCAGTCGGCTGGAGTGAAATATTTATTAAAAGTACTCCGGGTGCACCACGCAATTGCTCCGGTCTGCCGGAGCAAAAACTTGTTTGGGAGGTCCCGAGCAAAAATTGCCCCGAATAGAGGGACGCTAGAGGACAAGCGTTTTACTCCGACCTCGGAGTAATTTTTTTACAGTGCATATACGCGTGACAAAACAGCCTAGTCTTCTTGAACGGTGTACTTTTTTTTTTCATTTTAAGGAATTAAATGGGATGGCATCGTTGCAAGTCCAAGTTCTCAAAAATGGAGCCCCACTCAGGTACACTGGACCGCAGATACTCTATACTCGTCTTTTGACAGTATAGAGTATCTTTTCAAAATATAGAGTATACTCTATACTAGCCTTTTCATTCGGGAGATTGTTTCTGCGTAAAACTGAATGCACGCGAAGGACACGGTGTGTTAAGGCATGACCACAAGTACGCGTTGCGACGAGTCAGCGGGTGCCTTTTTCACGCGGCGCTGAACCATCTTCCTGTGAAGAGGGACGGCATGCCGCTTCAACTCAACGTGCACTCTGTTTCAATGTAGAGAGGGCGCGTCAAAAGGCTACGCGCTGATGCACTGCAACGCATTCGTGTGTTCAGAAGGGCCCGCTCGAAGCCACCTCGAAGAAAGTGTTAGGATGATGCGTAGCAAGGTTCATTGTACGGATGATTGTTTATTGGGGCCCAAAGGTGATTCCGGGGCTTTGCAATCCGTGTACATGTGCCCTGTGTCTGGCTAACGCTGATCGCGCCTTGTACGAGCGGCCACACTGATCGCATCTAAGCGTCTTCTCGCGCTCGTGGCAGACGATGTGGCGACGCAGCCACGCCAAGGAGTAGTAGCGCTCGTGGCAAACGGGACAAGCGTAAGGCCTGTCCGTACCGCTGCAGTCGCCATCTTGCTTCACCTGGGCATCTCTGGTGGAATGGGCCTCGACAGAAGTGTCGTCCACTTGCGTCAGAGCAGCTGGTGGTGCCTTCCTGATGCGCATGACTGCAATGGAAACACCAACTTGTACTGTTTCTTTTTATTATCATTTAAACATACAACTTGGGTGCAGTATTCAGCACGTTCTATTACAGAAGTGATCGCAACACCACACGAGAACGAGCGGGAACAAGCAGCCAATGGGTGAGCTGAGAGAATTCAAAATGATGTTCGACGCATGAAGCAATAGAGTATTATAATTGAATGTGACACTGGAAGAAATAATTTTGCAAAGCATGATATTGAAGAGTGTGATTACATTATAAGTTTAATTGCCCTAGTGTGTTGATTGGACGCTAGGTGTGGTACGTCACAATTTCACTACACTTTGGGCATGTGCGGGTGGGGTAAATGCTTTTTTTTGCCAGCTATCAGCTCTGAATGGGCCCAAAATTACAGGCTAGTTCAACTCTGCAGCCGAAGCGCTTACGTTTAATGCCAATAGAAGTCATTTGGATGCCTATAATTAGTCGATTTCTCTGACGGAACAGCATTTTCATCCTTCCTTTGCCCGTTGCTTGCCTAGCAGACTGCAAAATAATTGACAGTACTGCCATTTCCTGTAGTCGCTCTCACGTCTGACCGTTTTATGAGCCTCGATAGAAGGTTCTATCAGAAAGTATGTTCAAGATTGCGCTTGTTTTGAGACATTCAATTGCAAAATGTATGACATGGTTGACGGTAGATCGGTTTTGAAGTAAGACAAAAATAAAGCGGAATGTAGCCAAATATAACCATGTAATGTATTCTAAGTGTCAGCGTGGTAGCCAGTTGGAACACAAGCAGTATTGTGAACACATTTTGTTGTTATCAAACACTAAATAGTATACTCCTGCTTCGTGACTAAGAATATACATTGCATTAAGAACAAACATTTTCTTTCGCTTGCACCTCAGCCTTACGGTAAGATGTTATTGAATAAATAAACAAATAACTAAATAATTAAGTAAATAAATAATTAATAAATAAGTACTATTTAATTGCGCTTCCGTATAGTTATGAGTCTTAACCAGCATAACTTTGGCCCATTTAATTAAGAAAAAAAAACTACCAGAATGCTTCAGCCTGGCCTTCAAGGGTCTTCAAAAGAGTTCAACTGGGAAAGACTGAAAATTTGCATTAGTATCGATGTGCCACTACGTCGGAATTCTTCTTTTTCAGAATTGGCGCAGCACCCAATATGTGTACGTATAGCAGCACATGCACCTGTATACAGCTGCTCATTTTACTGGTGCTGCCCCGTCGCGGTGGTCTAGTGGCTAAGGTACTCGGCTGCTGACCCGCAGGTCGCGGGTTCAAATCCCGGCTGCGGCGGCTGCATTTCCGATGGAGGCGGAAATGTCGAGGCCCGTGTGCTCAGATTTGGGTGCACGTTAAAGAACCCCAGGTGGTCAAAATTTCCGGAGCCCTCCACTACGGCGTCTCTCATAATCATATGGTGGTTTTGGGACGTTAAACCCCACAAATCAATCAATCATTTTACTGGTGCTGTATCTGAAAATGATGACTAATGATGACTGGGTGTTTTGCAATGGGCGTACCTTTAAACCCAGCACTCGTTGCGCAGTTCACATGTTTTGACCTCCTCCTCTTTTTGTAAATAAACATTTATCTCTCATCTTCTTGTTAAATGCAATTATACCCTTCTTCTATATAATACTACATGGGGGAAGGAGACTCCTCGTGCTACATGAAATTCGTATAGGGTCACTTCCGGAAGCATTTCATGCACTACCGTACAGCTCTATCGTATAACTTGTGCTTGTCGCGAAGAACTCCTGAGTTAAATTCCCTTTCTGACTACCCATGTTTTGATTATTTACTCCCATGCATCTATCTCAAAATTTCGATCACGACCAGTGATCCGAAAACAAACACTGGAATTTCTGCGAAACGTGCTCTTCAACGATATCAATTTAGAACTCCACAGAAACAATAAGCATTGAACCATTTCATACAGAAGAGGTGTTGAAAGGGCCGTGGCGCGCCCCGCCGCGGTAGTGTAGTGGCTAAGGTACTCGGCTGCTGACCCGCAGGTAACGGGATCGAATCCCGGCTTCGGCGGCTGCATTTGAGATGGAGGCAGGAATGTTGTAGGCCTGTGTGCTCAGATTTCGGTGCACGTCAAAGAACCCCAGGTGGTCTAAATTTTCGCAGCCCTCCACTACGGCATCTCTCATAATAATATTGTTGTTTTGGGACGTTAAAACCACACATATCAAAGAGCAGTGGCGCAGCCAGAAGGTGGAACACCGCCCCCCCCCCCCCCCCAAACGTTTTTTCCGTCATAGGATATAGTGCCAAAAACGCCAGGCCTGTCCGTAACGCGCTGCAGAGTCAAAGCGAAAGCTAGAAGAGTGGCCTTTCAGAGCCTTTTCTGAACACTCTTTGTGTAACTGCTACAAGCACGCTTGCTGGGTGCCAACTACGTCATAAATAATCATATTTTTATGTAGTAGGCCAGCAACTATGCTATCCTTCGTAAGTGTTCTGAAAAGCGTGGTATCCGCTACACACTTGCTAGAAAATTCGTGCAGTGGCTGACGAGGATGAATATTTATGGCGGAGGGGGTATGATGCGCTGCAGTTATGGGTGATCTAGAACAAGTTTTCTAATGGGTTGTAGCATTGGAGGGCCTAGCCCTTACGCAATTGACATTGTGTGACGCCTGCGTGTTCATTTGATGTACTAAAACGCTTCGCATTATTACTCAAATTAACGTGATTTTTTTCCCGAAATCAAGCCGACCTAAGGCCAGTTTAGAAACTATTTCTAAGCAGCGGCGTGGCTCACTGGTTGGCGCATTGGATTACCTACTCCTTACGCAATTCGCATTGTGTGACGCCTGCTTGTTCCTTTGATGTTCTAAAACGCTTTATTACTCATATTAACGCAATTACTTCCCCGACATCAAGCCTGCCTAAGGCCAGTCTAGAAACTATTTCCAAAGCTACATTGCATTTTTTGAAGTTGCTGGCGCCAACATAAGTTTTGATAAAAGTAGAGGATTCTGGCTATGAATGAGGGCCCAAACGTTTTCGGTCCTTATTCATTGGAATGGGACTCCTATGTGGTACCTCAGTGTACCTCTCAATAACTATCGTAACAGCGCCCACGACGGACCGCTGCGGAAACTACGATATGCCAAAAGTGGCAACATATAGCATGGACGAGAGCTTCCCATTCTTGGGAGAGTGAAAGCGTGCAATGTATTCCTTGCGTAAAAAGCTTATTTGTGTTCTGCAGGTGTTGCACTACTCTCGTGTCCCCATTAAGTCCTTTCATAAGATGTATGCCTGCTTTATTTCGAGCTCTTCCTGGAAACTCATGAGAAGAGACAACCTTTTTCTTCAACATGAAAAAGGTGGCCTCCACCTGATGCATTTGTTTTTGCGGCTGTTGGCTCTGAGATTTGTTTTTTTTAACTCAAGGATGATTGTCACTCCTTTCTTTTAGCGGTCCTTCGAAACCGTCAATATTACCACCTTCCTTTTATTCATGTCACAACAGCCGTTACAAAGAAGTAACCCTTGTGGAGATCCCTAAAAAAAATGTTGATACAGGCAATTTTTTGAAAGGCAGATTAAGTTTAGACTATTTGTATGTAATTGGCAGAACAAAGTTAACTGCTTCAGTTGTGAATAATCTTTTCCCTGAACTCGTTTATTAAATGTCATACTCGCTTTAGTCTGATCACGATGTATTAATTTGTGTGTGTAGAATGTGAATATCTCCTTCAGCGAAAACCTTTTTTTTTTTTCAAATGCACCCTTCCGCTCTGCCAGTGAAAACGTGGCCGAATGAAAAAGTAATATATATGCCGTGGGCAATAAACTGTAGGCTCTGCAGGCAACCCGTGACGATAGACCATTGTTTCATTCACCATCGTAATGTATTTTATTTTTGGGATACTCTGAAAAGAACAATCTGAAAATAACTTCCAATCACAGATCATGGTACTAGGTTACTCTCTTTTAAAAAGAGCCTGACCGATAATATTCTATATGACCTGTTCATGTTACTGGGACAATATTCACTATAGAAAGGGCGCATGATTGATAGACACGCAGAGCCACCATGGTCGACAAGATTCGTCTTCCGAGAAGCAGCTGCTCAAGTGCGCAGTGTTCTTGAGACTTTTGACCCCGTTCCCAAGTGGCTTCTTCTTCTGGACGCTTGTATGTGTTTGCCTGACTTATGATTAAGTATGTTGGGCGTAGTTCACAATTACTGATGATGATTTTATGCATTCAGCAAGAAAAGTACTGACATAGCTCAGCGGTAGAATACTCGGCTATCACGCAGTGGATCCCGTTTAGAATCCCATTGTGTCCTTGGCGTTTTTTCGTAAATGTTTTTGCATATTTTTGCGATACTGGTTACGGACACCGACGGAAGTGGCATGAACCGTTTTCTGATCTTATAACAGCTTTCGCTGCAAAAATGACTTTCAAAACCATATCTTTACCTAGAGATCTGCATGCTTATTAAGATAGTTGTTGATCTTCAGTGTATTAGAATTCGACCCTGTAGCTTTTCCAACTTTCTTCTAGTGGAGCACCCGTTGTCTGAATAGAGCATAAAATTTATTCTACCTTTTATCAAAAAACCGCTAAGAGTATGACTGTGACATATGGCCCGCATATTCAACGTAATAGTGGCACTAATCTGATACTATAAAAACTAGCTCTGATGTTTGTCTCACAAGGAAAGAAATATTGTTCTCATTTCTCAAGTGTTATCAGAGAGACTTTCTAAACAATCTTTTAGTTGTAGCACACATGTTTACCAAACTTTAAGGTTGAGGCTTTTTGAATGAATCAAGGTATAGTCTGAAAAAAACCCAAGTGTGATTGGTCCGAGAGTCTTCAAAGAAAGATGCATTTAGTCTGGGAAAAGTTCTGAAAAAAACTTAAGTGTGATTGGTCTGATAGCCTTCAAAGAAAGAGGCAGTTAGTCTGGGAAAAGTTCTGAAAACTGAATGGTAGAAAAACGTGCCTTTACGTAAGAAAACACACGGAACGTGCTCACAATATACAGCCATCATTTCACTAAAAATGTGCCAGGGAAGCGGGAATTGCGATAAAGAACGTGATGCACTTAGGCAGTGAATATATTCAACCCATCAGTCCATAATTATTGTTAAAATGCGTATACACGAATAAACGATAGTGGAAAAGAGCCCGCATACCCGTTGGAGGACCGGTCTCTTGCGCCATTTTTAAAGAGACTGAAAGGGCTGGGGGCACCCCCTTAAAATGGGCCTTTTCCTCTTTGTATGCTATCACGTAAAACTTCTGGTAAGGGGATGGAGGGCAGCTGACTACCTCCTAACTACGTCACTTCCTCGCAATGCGTATTATGTTTCTGTAATGAAATCAAGAAATCAATTTTTCGGGATACCTGCCCTAATATATCCCCTTACGGGGGTACTGACACCCATTAGCGAGGGATGGTTTACTCTGCCGAGCAAACTTCTTGTGTACCGAAGACGATTCCTAACAAGTCTGAAGCTCAGCAAATACCGATGGTGCATAGTTTTATATGTTAGGTCAATAGTACCGTGGCGCACCTCGACACTAACTGATCGACAGGCTGCAGTACTAATTCCAGCCACTTCAAGCAGCATGCAGTCTGACCAGTTTGCATGACAACAGGCACACAAAGTTCCTAAATGGTCCTTCGCGCTTCACCAACAGAGCCACGGTGCGTAGAGACCGTGGAGACGTCACGATACCTTGCGCAAGCACCAGACGAGAAGCTTATAGCGTGTGGAGACGTCACGGTGCACTAAGGTCCAAAACTAGCTCTTCAAAAGCAACTTTTAATCTCTTCAAGGCGCGGCCTTTCATTTGAAGCAAAGAAACGACAACCGAAAACTTTCGTGTCAGTGCCCCTTTACGGTTGTAGTATGCCCACCTAGCGCCCAAGAAATCTGGATGGTATGCGACACGGGCATAGGCAAGCCCCACTACCGAGTGCAGCAGGTGTGAGGGAAAGCGAAGGCATTAGGGGGAGAGAAGGGAGCGACGGAAAGATAGGTACTTGTGGAGAAAGCAGTTCTGGCCTAGAGTGGGGGGGAATAAAGCTTAGTAAGACGAGGAGTCATGTGGCAAGGAGCGTGGAACGAGGAAGGGGTGAGATCTGAGAAAAAGCTATCCTCAGCGAAGTGGTAAGAGAGAAGGCAAAGCAGCAGGGGAGAATGAATGAGCGGAAGCAAGATTTCACGCGGAGGTGGAATTCGAACGCGACCGGACACGTTAGGTCATCTTCGAGATGCCCGCCATCAGCAGTTAAGCGGTAGGTATGAATAGCTTGTCGTTTGAATGTTGAATGAAGGACCTCTCGGTGGCTCAGTGGTTAACGCCTCCCACTCGCGACGCAGTGGTCTCTCATTCGATTCCGTGCGACGGAGTCTTTTATTATGGGATTTCTTTCTTGCGTTTTCAGATATATAGATACGTATACATATACGGTGCATGACATCGACGCCGACGCAAGCGGCACAATCCAGCCGAGAGTGTCCATATAATTGCTATCACAATAAAAAACGCGAGAGTGAGAAAGAGATAAACACATATTATAGAGAGAGAAAGCATAGTGTGGAGACACTTGGAGTAGGAAAGGGAAGTGATGTTGTGGAGCAGGGATGTGAACAGGAGAAGGAGAGAGAAGGCCACCAAATCCGTTGATTCGTACCGATTCGCAGCGCTAGTGCGTAGCGGCCCCTATTTTCTTTCCTTGAAGCACTGCACTAAACATGATTGCTAGTATAACTGCGGGAGCATTCGAGCTTCAAGTATTGAAATCTAGTTGAAACGGAACAGGCGAGCTTCTTTGTATTGCTTATGTCCGATTCATCTTGTAGTTCCCACACAGGCATTCATTATAAGCACTGGGAACTTGCGTGCTGAATCTCTTTCTCTTTGGCTTCACCGTCACCAGCGTGCAGTCTCCATGCAAACACCTTAAACCGTATATATATATATATATATATATATATATATATATATATATATATATATATATATATATATATATATATATATATATATATATATATATATATATATATATATATATATATATATATATATATACAGAGAGAGAGGGGGAGTTGTGTCTCGCGCAGAAAATACGGACACAACGTACATTCATTAGTGGCCGAATGCCCTCGATTTGGCTCTGTAGCCTTTTCTGGATTACCAAAAAGTGTGGTGTGCGAGTATAAGAGCTGGAAGTTAGAGCAAGTTCGTTGAGGGTAAGGTTTAAAAAAGCGCTTCGTCATACCTCTCACAGCCTTTGCCGTCGTGGCCGGTGGCTCTTTAGGCTCGACCAGAGCATGACCCTGGCTGCACTTGTCCTCCGACGGCGCAGACTCGGACTTTGGACCCACGATGGGGCTGTACTCAGGTGGCGGTATCGACTTCGCTTCCGAGGCGTTCGCCATTCGGGCGCCCTCTTGACTGATCAGTACGGGTGCTTGTTTGTCGACGACGCGACACGTACTACGTGAACGAGTCACAGCACGCGGCTTCCACGTGGGAACAAGAGGTCTAGGCAATGCGGACTACGCCAGAAGCATTGCGGGCTCATCTGATGGGATCACGTGGAATCCGCCAGATGCCCATGTCACCCGATGCGTCCTAGACGCAAGCCAGCATTGTGCACGTATGCTGTTAGAACGGTGCCGCTCAGACGGAGATTCGTGGGTGTCGTTTCTGTCTGCGTCACGAAGGATAGGGAACGTTCCCACAGACTGTGAGAGAGCTTACATAGGTACTACTGGCGGGTATATGTACTTATTTAATACGTCGCTTTTATTTTGCGAGGGGTGTCGGGGCCTGGTAACCCGAGCAGGCCCCCAGGAATTGAATGCGCGAACATTGGGTGATCTGTGTCTCCCGACGCCAAGGGCCATGTGTCGAGCTACGTAGCATTCGAAATAACTAGAAAAGGAGAGATAGGCGGTGCACTTCAATACGATTTCGATTGGGCGCATTTTGAAAAAGCGCAGCCGTTGAGGCTAAAACCTTTATGCACTTTGAGCAACCACTTATTATCATATTGTTTAAGTCGTACTCTAGTTGGCTGTGTCATGACGTGATGATTCTTGTTTAAGGTCCGCACAGTAATAATGTCTACAGTTTTACGTTTGAATATCACTATATGATTACTATATGATTATAAAGGACGCCGTAGTGCAGGGCTCCGGAAATTTCGCCCATTTGGTGTGTTTTGTTTTGCAAAGACGTTGCACATTACACGGGTCTCTACACAACCACACCAGACGCTATATCAAGCAAGCGACTCTTTATGGGAGGCTACCGCGGGGCACGCACGCCCTCTCTCAAGGTGGCTAGGCGAGGGAGATCACCCCGCTTCATTAAGTGGTAACCGTCCTGGTACAGTAGCATTAAAATTTTGAATTTAACTCATTAGATCTACAAAATACTATGTGATCCCTTCCATGTAATTATTCGTAGCTTGGCCATCCGCTAAAGTGGATGTGAGCCTTACATAGAGGCCATCATCATCGTCGTTGCGTCGTCGTCGTCGCAAGTACGCGCAACACTCGAGCGTTTTACCGTGATGCCAAAAGAGCCATTTGTGTCTGCATTTACAGATTTTAAAGCAGCTCTTGAAAGTATGTGGAAGAGGGATAAGAGTCGGCATCAACAACAGGTAACATCTGATATCGCTTATCTCCATCACAAGGCTTAGGCTGCTGGACACAGCATTATGTTTTAATGGGTACCTGGCTATGCTGGTATATTGTGAAACAAAAAGCTGATGATGTTGTCCGTAATAGAGTACAATTCTGGAATTTCAGAAGGATATTTTTTCTAATTCCAACGCTTCGAAAGTTGCGAAACAATATGCCTACCAAGAAAAAGACTACCTTTAGAATTCGCCACTTCATAACAACAGCTACTTCTGTATTATATTGACACAATTAGGCGCGCAATTGTTCTACTCATCCTCTCGCCACCTATAGATATTAAATCATCTTCTTCGACTCAACATGATATACACAAACAGTTACGTGTACCGCATAGGGCGTACCACAAGTCCGTGTTGTCATAACTGCGGCAGCATAGAGACAGTTCAGGAGATACTACTATGAAGCCCGCTTACAACAATGAGATACAACTGTTCAAAGAAGAAATGGACGTGATCTGCCACGAACAGTTAACTTTGCGGAACATATTAGGCAATGTGGGCGAACCTTCGAAGCGTCGTCGGGTCATACTGTCATTGATCAATTGCCTATCCAATATTCGCATTGTGGGAAGTCTCGGATAATACGACATCTCCCATAGGAAAGTATTTATTTACCTGATACCCTAATGTGAATCGATTCGTCAGGTTCACGTGATTACCACTTTTTCTTCACA